ACGCATCTGTCAGTAAAAGTGAAAGAGAGCAATATTGCTAAGAATAAAATTTGCTACAACTTTTACTCTAAAAGTTTTCTTGTAACATGTTTTGAATCCTTGGTGTCACCATTACCAACATGTAAAACAACAAAATTCCTCCAATTTTCATATTTTCGAATTTTTCTCGATATTGACGGATTTGAGACCAAAAGTGCAAAAGAGCAATATTGTTAAGTATAAAATTAGCTACAACTTTTACTCTAAAAGTTTTCTTGTAATATGCTCTGAATCCTTGGTGTCACCATTACCAACTTGTAAAACAACAAAATTAATGCAATTTTCATATTTTCGAATTTTTCTCGATATTGACGGATCTGAGAGCAAAAGTGCAAAAGAGCAATATTGTTAAGAATAAAATTTGCTACAGCTTTTACTCTAAAAGTCTTTTTGTAATATGCACCGATTCTCGAGTGTTATCATTAATAGTTTGTAAAACAACAAAATTCATACAATTTTCATATTTTTCTGGATGTCTATGTATCTGAGAGCAAAAGTGCAATATTGTTAACTATAAAATTTGCTACAACTTTTGCTCTAAAAGTTTTTTTGTAATATGCTCCGATACCTACAACACCTACAACAAATTTCATAACATTGTCATATTTTCGTATTTTTCTGGATGTCTATACATCTAAGAGCAAAAGGGCAAAAAAACAATATTGTTAAGTATAAAATTTGTTACAACTTTTACTCTAAAAGTTGATACCATTAGCAACTTGTAAAACAACAAATTTATCAAATTTTCATATTTTTTACAAATTTACTGATACTCAGAAAAAGACTCTATGCTTTGGCGCATTACATTCACCAATATGAAATGTTTTTTAAATAACTTTCATTCATTTTGTAAATTAACATAATTAAAAGCAAATCTTATCACACAACCACTTCAATCTTCACCAAATTTGAAAATCTTTTCAACATTAAAATTTCTGCATTGATTATACAAATATAAGATTGAAATTTTAATCAGAGTCGAAACCTGTTATGACATCATCGACGCAAAAGTGTCTTTTGATTTACAACGAAGCTTCTATATTTAAAGAAGAAACTTTAAACACAACCATGTTTAAAAATTTATTTTTAAAACACCCAGTATGTATATGATCAGAGTCAGTTATAAAAAAAATGTGAAGGGTGCCGCTGTAATGAGGAAATAACAGACCGGCGATGCAAATAAGCAATAGCATTATTATCGTGAACGGGCCGCCGCTGCACGGTTCCTATTAGCACGAAGAATCATTTTGCAACCGTTAACCAGACTCGCTTCAAACCTACATTGTTAGTCTTGAAAATCATTATTTAAACCAATAAGTTAGTGGATACGCGTTAATTTGTTGCATTTCTTCTATTAATTAATGTTAAAACATGTATGTAACTGTGTCGTAGGTTTTATAATGTGATAATCAATCGAATCGACCCTTTTTTGTACTCTCTAGTAATGGCGTTCACTTTTTATATCAAGGTTCTTATAACAACAATTACAACTAACAACAGGTGGTTTTCTAATAAATTTATTTTTTTATGCAAAATAATATTTCTGGAAGAGTACTTCGAGTTAGAGAAAAATTAGTTGAATTTCAGCTCTAAAGAAAAAAATTAAAAATGTACTTTTCTAATACGTGAATATATTTAACCTTTCAAATACTTAAATAAAAATATACAACAATCTAGCGTTGAATTAAAACCAGACCTAACACTAGACCTAGAACTAGAAACATTCGGGTTAGCCGAAACTTTCTAGTTCTAGGTCTAGTGTTAGTTCTAGTTTTACACTACCACTGTTACTAACACTAGCATTAGAACTAACACTAAACCTAGAACTAGAAACATTCGGGTTTAGCCGTACGTCTCTTAAGACGGCTAAACCCGAATAATTCTAGTTCTAGGATTAGTGTTAGTTCTACTATTAGTTCAATAAAAATAAACAACAATCTAGTACTGAATAGCATCTAAAACTAGAACTAACAACATTAGACCTAGAACTAGAAACATTTGGGTTTAGCCGTACGTCTCTCAAGATGGCTATGAAGATGAATATGAGAATAATTGGAAATATAGAAGTTCAAATTAGGGGATTTTCACTGTATGTATAATAATTTTGTGGTTATTATAAAGGAAATTTGTGGAAAATCCAAAAATATCATGAATATTTTTTGTGGTTAATTTATTTACGTCGTCGGTGGTTTTAAAAAAAGAAATAAAAAGTTTCTTTTAGAAATTTTGAAGCAGTAAATTACCGCATAATATAAACAAGAGTCATCCTAAGACGCAAGATCACTGGCGTGGCGCCTAAACCGCGTTTAAAAAAATAATCAAACGATTAATCTGGCCATGTGTATATTAAACACATTAAGTTTTACTTTTGCTGAAGTTCGCATCGGTCGCGGCTTGAAAATAATTCATAACAAAAAACGTTCTCTCTAAATGACCTCGGGGACGTCGCCGGGTAACATTTTTCGACACCCAAACCGATCTAATAACAAATAAAACAGTGCGAAAAAAAATTTTAAAAAAATATATATTCAGGATTTAGATAAGAAGCTTTAGTTTGAATCTTTTTTCGTTAGTTTCTTTCTCGATAAAACTTGTTAGTAGAGTCGTTTAATAGGGTTGGTGTGTGTAGATGACGGACGTTTCCAGACGCCTCTTCTTCTTCTGTTGGTCTGAAGCTCGTTTCGACTTAATGCGGGGTTTCCTCATTTGAATACGGTGGCGTAAAATAAAATGGGAATGTGGGCGGACCGGTCAACACTCGAACCAAACCGTTTCCAACCTCCTCCGCGCGAATTTAATTCATAAATTAATTCCTATAAAAATAGCTTCTAAATAGTGTGTTGAAAAAAAACGTCGGCGCGGCGTCGTTTTAAATTGGTAATTAAAAAAGATCGATCCCAATCGTTATTTTTTCTATGACGTCAATCAATTAATATCTATAAACGTTTTTAATCGCTTTTATGAATTGATTTATACCCATTTTTACTGCTAAAATAAGTCGTGTTAAATTTCAGTTAATTTCAACAACTTACATTACATTTTAAATCAAATAAAAAAAGTTTGTAGAACTGTATATCTATAAATAAGCTTATTACTTAGTAAAATTCGCAAATTGTTGCTTTTTAAGTTAATTAGATAATTTTGAAATATTATAAAATATGGTAAAATATAGAAATCTGTAATTTAGTGTAAATGACTTACATTACACTTTAAATTTCTAAATTTATTCACTTTAATCTTAAATAAAAAATTTTTGCAGAACTATGTATAACTATAAATAAGCTTACTACTTAGTAAATTTCATAAATTGTTGCTTTTTAACTTAATTAGATGATTTGTGAAATCTTAAGAAACATGGTAAAATACAGGAATCTGTAATTTAGTTTAAATAGCTTATATTACACAAGGTCCGTTGAGTATTGGTTATAAGGTAATCTCATTTGAATGGTTTTTTTAATAAAGAATACATCATAAAAGAACACCATGAAGTTGTCCATTTGTCTATTATATGATAACTATAATAACTTCAGATTTAAAATGTCAACCTCAATTTTGACATATTTGTAATCTTCATTAAAAATCCTTTAAAATAAGTACAAACACGACATATTTATCTTCAATATTAATGAAGTTATGGTCAACTTCCGGTTAGAAATGTCAAAGTCAATTTTGACATATTTGTAATTGTCGTGAATGATACATTTAATTCCAATGTTAGTCGAGATATAAGCAACTTCCAGTTTGAAATATGAATGTCATTTTGACAAATTCTTAATTTTGCTATATTTTTATTACACCGTTTAATTGTAAGTAGAAAAATAGGTTGACTTTGATAAAAGTTATTGGTACCTAACCTTTTTCGTTTTCGAGTTATTTTGGATTACTCTTCAGATGCTGTCAAATAGATTGTCATTTGTTGTACATCTTATACAGAATGGTCAAAAATTGAATTACTGTTTCTCCATATTCAATGGCGAGAAAGTCGAAAATTTTAAATGGATGGCCCCATATATTTTTAGCCTGTCAGAAAAGGAATTTAACACTCTACAAATTATCTATAAACATTCCTCTAAGACGCCCGGCTAAACATAAAACTTTCTAGTTCTAGGTCTAATGTTAGTTCTAGTTTTGTTATTTAACCCTAAATTCTTGTACATTTTAATTTATCTAAAAAAAATTTTTTTTTCATTTAATCCACTTACCTTGCTTATAATTTCATCCATTTACCCATTTTGAATTAAATACAACCTTTAAATCCAATTCATTATGTGTTTTTCATTAAAAAAACTTAAATTCAACGTCAATTTTGATAAGAAACTGCAATATTTGGATCTTAATCACCATGGTAACCGAGTCAAGTTGGATAACCTTAAAATAATAAAATTTTATTTCGATCTTTTTATCAATTCTAACCTAATTTTTATTAATTTTAAAACAATTCGAATTCTTTACGATTATCTCGCATTTTGTTTTAATATCTTTATATTTTTGTGTATTGCTTCTTAAGTGAAATACACTGTATAAATAAAAACATAGAAATATGAATTCTTCCAATGACGTCACAGCAAGGCCTTTGCGGGGGGGATACGTTCATAACAACAGCGTTTATGGGGTGTTTCTCAAAAAAATGTTTGTAGAACTATGTATAACTATAAATAAGCTTATTACTTTGTAAATTTCATAAATTGTTACTTTTTAACTTAATTAGATAATTTTGAAATCTTATGAAATATGGTTAAATACAGGAGTCTCTAATTTAGTGTCAGTAAAAAGCCATCTTATATTACATTTCAAATTTATAAACATATTCACTTCAATCATAAATAAAAAATGTTTGTAGAACTATGTATAACTATAAATAAGCTTATTACTTTACAAATTTAATAAATTACTTTTAACTTAATTAAATTATTTGTGAAATCTTATGAAATATGATATAATACAGGGTTCTGTAATTTTTCGTTGACAATCTTTGACATATTCCTTAAAGAAAGAGGTTATTTCACGAAAACATTAAAAGAAAATCGTTTTATATAGTTTTGATTGATGTTATTTTTACCTAAAACAGTTTATAAAGTAGTCTTTTTTGCTTACTAAACGTTAGAAATAAATAAAAAACGATGCAGAACAGTGCTCGTGATAATAATCATCCGGGTCATTCCATGTTGATGAGCACACGGGAAAAAGAGAAATATATCGAAAATTTTAATTTTCCTTATTGTGACGACTCCGTTAAATACGAAAAAGTAACGAAAATCGGTCAAGGGACGTTTGGGTAAAATGCATTTGTATTTATAATTCATTCCAATGTTGTAATAATGATGTTTTTATTTTAGTGAAGTGTTCAAAGCGAGAGATAAAAGTAATGTAAAAAAGTTTGTAGCCTTAAAAAAGGTGTTAATGGATAATGAAAAGGAAGGGGTAAAATTCTATTATAATTGTTAGAATTAATTGTTTTAATGTTTTTTTGGTTTAATGTAGTTTCCAATAACAGCTTTACGTGAAATTAGGATATTACAACTTTTAAAACACGAGAATGTGGTTAATTTAATAGAAATATGTAAAACAAAGGCGTCTCAAGTAAATCGATATAGATCGACGTTTTATTTAGTGTTTGATTTTTGCGAACATGACTTGGCTGGGTTATTATCTAACGTTAATGTTAAATTTAGTTTAGGGGAAATTAAAAAAGTTATGCAACAATTATTAAATGGTTTATACTACATACATAGCAATAAAATACTTCATAGAGACATGAAAGCTGCAAATGTTCTTATTACGAAAAACGGTGTTTTAAAATTAGCCGATTTTGGATTGGCTAGAGCATTTAGTGTTAGTAAACTTGGGGTACCAAATAGGTATAAATAATAATATCATAAAGGATTAATTTATTCAGTGATTTTATTATTATTGTTGCAGATTTACGAATCGTGTAGTTACTTTATGGTATAGGCCCCCAGAATTACTTTTAGGTGAAAGGAATTATGGTCCACCTGTTGATTTATGGGGTGCAGGATGTATAATGGCTGAAATGTGGACTAGATCACCGATTATGCAAGGAAATAGTGAACAACAACAATTAATGTTTATTTGTCAACTTTGTGGATCAATTACACCGCAAGTCTGGCCTGGAGTTGAAAATTTAGAGTTGTATAAGAAAATGGAATTACCTCAACAACAAAAAAGAAAAGTAAATTGATTATTATTACAAATACGAAATTTAGTTACTTTTTTTATTTTTAGGTTAAAGAAAGATTAAAATATTATTTAAAAGATCCGTACGCTTGTGATTTATTAGACAAATTATTAATATTGGATCCATCAAAACGAATAGATGCAGATGCAGCTTTAAATCACGACTTCTTTTGGTCGGATCCAATGCCTTGCGATTTAGGGAAAATGTTAGCTAATCACACTCAGAGTATGTTTGAATATTTGGCACCACCGAGAAGACCAAATAACATGCGTACTCATCACCAAATCCCTGGGGCCAGACCAACTACGTCAACCACACAAGATAATGGATATCAAGACAGAGTTTTTTAAGTAAAATAAATTTAAAAAAATCGATTTTTTTGCATTTGAATTGAATTAAAACCCCAAAATAAATTTTCTTATAAGATAGTAATAAATAAAACTTAATAGATATAAACTTTATTAGGAGAAATTATTTAATTATACTCTATTTTTTAATTCGGAGAATTAAAATGAAAAGTCACGTTTACACAGCGTAATTTTTCAAGCTTTTTTTTGGCGGGAGTTTTAAAACTACAGAGGATTTTAAGTAAACTGCAGTTACGAATTTACTTATTTGTTTAAACATAATAAAAACCAGGGCGTACCAAAGGTCCGTTGAGTAAATATCGTAAATATACTGTATAAGGTTATCCAACTCCATCCGCTGTTGTTATGAACGTATCCCCCCGCAAAGGCCTTGCTGTAACGTCATTGGAAGAATTGACATTTCTATGTTTTTATTTATACAGTGTATTTTACTTAAGAAGCAATATACAATAATATTTAAAAAATAAAATTAAAGTATAAAGTGAAATATTAACGATTATAATTTTATTATTGTTAGGTTATCCAACTTGACTCGGTTACCATGGTAATTAAGATCCAATTAATGCAGGTGCTTGTCAAAACTGAAATTGAATTTAAGTTCTTTTAAGAAAAAAGTCTTATTTAATTGTTTTAAAAGGTTGTATTTAACTCAAAATTGTTTTATCTAGGGTATTATAAACAAGGTAAGCGGATTAAATCAAAAAAAGATTTCTTTTAATTTATTTCTCTTAATTAGAATCGATTTAAATTAACTACAATTTACGAATTTGTTATGACTGCGAGATAATCGTAAAGAATTCGAATTGTTTTAAAATTAATAAAAATTAGGTTTGATAAAAAAATCGGAATAAAATTTTATTATTTTAAGGTTATCCAACTTGACTCGGTTACCATGGTGACCGAGTGATCCAAATATTGCAGTTGCTTGTCAAAATTGACGTTGAATTTAAGTTTTTTTTTATGAAAAACACATAATTAATTGGATTTAAAGGTTGTATTTAATTCAAAATGGGTAAATGGATGAAATTATAAGCAAGGTAAGTGGATTAAATCAAAAAAAAAATATTTTTAGATCAATTAATGTGTGCAAGAATTTAGGGTTAAATAACAATTAAACCTAGAACTAGAAAGTTTTAGGTTTAGCCGGGCGTCTTAGACAAGAACTTAGAAAAGTCTGAAGATGCACGGCTAAACCCGAATATAGAACTAACACAAGAACTAGAAACGGTCGGGTTTAGTCGTAAAAAAAACTTTCAGTTGTCAATGTCAACTTTAATTTTATTATATTCGTAATCTTCATAAAATAACCTTTAAAGTGAGTCCAAACGCACTTATCTCTTGACGCATTTATCTCAAAAAACCAAAAAGTTTGAACTTCCAACTTTTAATTTTGACATATTTGTCAACTTCATAAAAATTCATTTAAAATGAGTCCAAACTCGACATATTTAACTAATACAATCACTTCCGGTTTGAAACGGCAACGTCAATTTTGACATATTTGTCATCTTCATTAAAAAACCTTTAAAACGAGTCCAAAGATGACGCACTTACCTCAAAAACCAAAAAAGTTTGAATAAAAACCGTTAAACCCGAAGTTAGCAACAATGAAGATAACAATTTAATTTTTAAATATTAATACCAACCTTAATTTTTGATTTACAAATATTAAAACATTTTATAAAAATTAAGAATATGTCAAAATGACATTGACATTTCAAATCGGAAGTTAATGATATGTCGAGTAATATTGGAATTAAACGTATCATGTTTGGGCTTTTTTTAAAGGATTTTTCACGACGATTACAAATATGTCAAAATTGACGTTGACATTTATAACCGAAAGTTGACCATAACTTTATTAATATTGAAGATAAATATGTCGTGTTTGTACTCATTTTAAAGGATTTTTAATGAAGATTACAAATATGTCAAAATTGAGGTTGACATTTTAAATCTGAAGTTAGTTATGAAACGTGTAATTAATTTAAAAATAAAAATAAAGGAACTTGAAATAAGAAGAATTTTTCCCTTTAAGAATTTTTAGAAACAGACTCTGAGACAAAGAAAAAACATTGCAACTTATTTTATTGTAAACATAAAAAGAGTAATTCGAAGCTGCTTGTATAAACAATTAGCAAATTTGTTGTAATTTGAAAATTTATAAAATTTTAATTTGTTGTGATATAGTTCAATAATTTTAATATTATAAACATTTCGGAAAAATTTTATTGGAAAGATCGCTTCAGAATAATGTATCCTACAACCGTATTATGCTCTGATGCGGAAGATACGGGACATGCTGTATATGCAATGATGCATATATGCTCCTCAATAACATTTAAGAATGTAACCTAAAAACTAATTTTAATTCCTTATAAATACTTCTCAATATTTATTTTACATTTATTTTGTTCTAAATCTGATGAAATTATAAATAAATTTTATTAAATTTTTACCTTTTATTTGTTCGTTTTATTAGAACGTACCCCAACTTTACCAACCGTTTTGACATTTTTGACAGTTGACACATTTTCGTTTCCGATCTGATCTAAAGGTGGTCGACTTTTTAAAAACCAACACCATAAAAAGAAGGTGTATCGGTGTTACGTAAACTGCAACAATGGCATCAACCCTATCGAAAGCCCCGATTTTGCGTGCGACCGCTGTAAGTACTTTAAAATCTTTAATTGAACACTCAATGGCCGACCGATTACATAAACCTTTTCATCTATCTTTTAAAATCTGGATTAAATTTTCACCTAAAATCCTATTATATTTTATTTTAGGTACGTTCGTATTCGTGTCAAGCGGTCCCAATCGGTGGAACGACTACATATAAAGTCGAAAACAGTACCTTGCAGAATAAACTTGTTGTGTGCTCTGCAGAAAATGATTCCCCATTATCAAGAGTTTCGATTGTTTTCAGGTTTGATTAGAATAATTTTACTTTTTAATAGGATACTTAATAGAAATTTTATTGTAGAGCTGGGTCAAGATACGAAGGAGCTGATAATTTGGGTGTTAGTCATATGTTACGTATGACTGCCGGCCAATCTACTAGGAATTGGTCAAACTTTGCCATCGCCAGACGTGTAGCTCAATCTGGAGCTACTTTAAGTTGCACTGCAGATCGTGAAGTTGTTGCTTATACTTTAGAGGGAACTCGTGCTGCTGTTGCTGAATGTCTTCCTTATTTAACATCTGTTGCAACTGAACAATTATTCCAGCCATGGGAAATTTCTGATCAAGAAAAACGTGTTAGATTAGAATTAGCAACCAGACCACCACAAGTAAAAAAAACTCAATTTTTTTTTGTAATTTATTTCTAATTTTATTTTTATGAATTTAGTTACGTTGCATTGATTTATTGCATAAAGCGGCTTACAGAAAAACTTTGGGTAATTCCCTCTTTATTGCCAAATACAACATTGGAAAGATTGGCTCAGAAACCCTTCAACACTATGTTCGCCAAAACTTCACTCCAACTCGCGGTGCTGTTGTTGGTTTGGGAATTGACCACTCCAAGTTGGAACAAATTGGGCAATGTTTAAAAATCGAATCTTGCAAAGATGAGGCATCTCCGGCTAAGTATGCAGCTGGAGAAATTAGGTCTGATAAAGGTGGAGATATGGCTTATGTGGCAATTGCTAGTCAAAGCGCCGGAATTTGCCAGATTAAAGAAGCTTTGGCGTTTGGCGTTTTGCAAAGAGCTTTGGGAAGTGGTCCCAGTACAAAATATGGAATGGAAAGTGCCAGTTTGTTGAGGAAAGCCATTGGAGATATCCGCGATCCACACTCAGTTTCAGCTATTAATTATACTTATTCAGATTCTGGTCTTTTTGGGGTTTTGGCTGCTATGCCAGCTAAAATTGCTGGGCAAATTACTACGAGTGTTGTTAAAACATTAAAATCTCTTAAAGTTTCTGATGCTGATGTTAATAGAGGTAAAAAATAATTAATAATGTTAATAAAAAAGTATTTTTTTTTATTTATTAGGAAAGAATCAGTACATTACTGATATTTTAACTAGTAATGAATGTGGAAGAAATGCCATTGAACGTATGGGAAGGGAAGCTGCTTTAACTGGAACCGGTCAATCACCTTGTGAAATAATCGCGGAGATTCAAAGCGTTTCTGCAAGCGATGTTCAAGCGGTTTGTTTAAAACAATTGTGTTCTCTAATTATATATTAAATTTTATGTCTTATTTTTAGGCTGCCCAAAAGATATCGTCTGGAAAATTGACGATTGCAGCTGTGGGGAACTTACATTGCGTTCCCTTCAAAGACGAACTGTAAACGTTAATTTAAATTAAATTAAAACAATTTTAATAAATGTAATTGAGAAGGAGGAAAAATCGCTTTGATCGATTAAGGTGATTTTTAGGGGAGGTTCCTCCAAAGTAAAGAATATGTTGTAATAATTGTTAAATAACAGTGTATTTAACTTTTATTTTAGTTCTTTTATAAACTCCAAATACCTAAATAAATGTTTCTTTTTTTGTTTTTATGTGATTTGGTAATGTTTTAATCCCCAAATGGATTTTTTCAAAATTTAGGATAAACAATGTCATAAAACTTTATTTAATTCATCTAAATGGGGCGGACTGAGTCTGCAGTTGTCAATTTTGCAACTTATGGTGTTAATTAGAAGTTATTAAACTTAAAATTTGTTATTTACTTTTTGTATTACATTCACATAACCCATTTGCTTCATAACCTCAGATTATTGCAGAACCAGTAATGCTGGAACCAACAAGGATACGAATCAATCTTCAACATATCACTCAAATATGTTATGAGAAGAACTGGAGTCGATCTGGACGCTACCTTGATGAACAAATCTGTACCAGTGGTGGGATATGCAAACGATCTTAAAATCCTTGACAGATTAATGCAGGTGGTCAAGGAAACCTTTGGAAACTTCGAAACCACCAGTAGTGAGGTTGGACTAAGGATCAACGAGGGCAAAACTTAACCCTTGACCCAGAGCAGGAAACGGAGATACGGGAAGAGCGTCACAATCGGGGATTACAACTTCAACTACCTGGGAAGCAACATAAATACGCAAAACGATGAGACTAATAAAAATAATAATACACCCAGTGTTTACAAATCACATATTCGTTTCCAAATTAAGAGAAAAGTCAACGACTCAGCACAAATTAATGATATGGAATAAAGATGTCCAAGGTGGTAAATGAATTGATTATAAATTTCTTAATTGAAACATCAAAAGTAATGAAAGACATTTTTCATTTTTTGCTATAATTAAATAATTTAAAATGATCTTGAGATCTAACAAAAATTGAAATTTATCATATCTTGTGCTTCATGGGTTGCGTTCCATTTCAATATTAAAAGTTATCGGTAAAATAGATTTCTTTATTTATAATGACATTGACAGTAGATTTCTGTCAAAAACTGTATGTACACAATTCTGTTATAAAAAGTTTAAACGCTTTAAAAATAAATAACTTAATGTTAAACAGTTAGTTGTTTACAACGCGATAATTATTTAATGAAATGTTTTTGTCAAAATGCTCCTTTTTTCCTGACAAGAAATCTAAATGTCAAACGGTATTTTACGGTTAGTGCATTCTCCGGTGTCAAAGTCCGCCTTGTATACCTTTGTAGTGTTTTGTAAATAATACATTTAGTAGAGAGGGTTAAAGATAAGGCGAATGACACCTGTGACAAGCGAAAACTGCGGCGGTCCGGTTATTACGTGTATGCGAGTCAATTAAGGAATTTCGTACGTCATCCGACCGTCGCAGCTTATCTTACTATCTACACACGAAGTCCGGGAAATTACTTATTTATTCCTCGGCGTGACGTTGTCGATAAAGGATGACGTTCATTGGAAAACCGTGACGATCGGCATTTTATAACAGGTAACAAACCGGATGGGGACATCTATACATTTCTAGTGCACTACTAACACCGGGTTGAGGGAGTAAATTTGAACGACACACTTTTAAAACAGGTGAATTGGATGTTATGTGAAACCCATTGATTGTATGCATTTTGACATACCAAATATCCACGAGGATGGAACCTACCTCTGGAGATAGCGGCAGGAAAAAGTCCACCGAGGATTTCATTTTTGGGAAAGCTATCGGAGAAGGAAGTTTTAGTACCGTTTATTTAGCTAAAGATATCCATACAAATAAAGAATATGCAAGTAAGTGTAGTAAGTAGGGTTGCTAACATGGTTATTTTCACCCAGAGATTCTGGGTTTTCAACTATATATTATAAACTAAACTATTTATCCCTTACTGTAATTAAATTTTATACCTAAGTTGAAATGAAAAGGTAAGAATTTAATTTTTTAATAACTATCATCATTAATTATAATTTTTATTATTTTATACATTTATTTTTATTAAATAGAGCTTTAAGAATGTTATAAACTCCAAAGAAAAAGAAGTATTTTGTTTCCTTCAATGACGAATGATTAAAGCACAATTAATATAAAAATTGGTTGCAACAGGAAAATGAACTTAAAGGAGGTGTAAATTATGTGGAACTACATTCATTATTAAACACAATGGAGAAAAGGCAGTAAAGGCACACCAAAACAAAAGTGGAGAATAATTTGGGTCATACGGCTTTTAAAAGAGTTGAAAAACAATCAAGAAATGAGATATTTTTCAATATCCTCAGATGCCTCAAATAGAGGAAATCTTAAGTTATTTCCCCTTGTAGTATTTTGTTCCTGAAGAGGGAATAAAACACTGATGTTATTATATTTAGTTATTGCTCAATTGCCACCTGAAATAGCGTCAATTATTTATGATGCAATAAATAATCCACCAGAGAGATTTATATTCTTTTTTGAAAGGATTTTCTTGGAAAAACTTACCCTTTCAGAAGAGAAACGTCTCGATAATCTCCTGTTTGGTACTCAATTGGATGACCAACGCCCATCTGACTACAGGGGCATGTTATCAACAGGCTCCACAATGGTAAGTCAGAGTTTGTTACTCAAACTCTGACAGAGAAGGCTATCGCGAACCATTTTGGTTGCTTTACTTGCCTCAGGCAAGGAGAAAGTTAACGACCTTTTAGTAATTGCTGATAAAATTTGGGAATCATTATCTTCTAACCTCTCATCTTCTTTATCAATTACTGAAGTAGGATCCAAATCGCTCATAAACAATCCATCAACGTCGTCATTTTTAAATTCTACTATAAATAAGACTTAAGACATTCCTTGATTTCTCTAATTCTTGTCAGCTTCTATTACGCGCCATGACACAACGTCAGATTTCCATTGAATTACAGGTCAATATCATTAGACCAACCTTTAAATAACAAAAATTGTCCTTGTTGTTGCTCACATTGTCATTTTCGTCGCATAACGTCTTACATAACGTTAAACATCGTATAATAACAAATTCTCATCTACCATTTTCCCGTCCTCGACGTTTGGATACCTCAAAATTTATGATTAATAAAATTTGATAAACTTGTCTTTCTTGCCAAAAAACAAAGATTACTAAATACACCAAATCTCCTATTCTGAAAATCCCTATTCCAAAAGGTAGGTTTGAGCATATACATATTCATCTTGTTGGTCCACTCCTTCCTTAGGATGTTCTTATGTGCTGACTATCATAGATAGGTTTACTCGCTGGTCGGAAGTATTATCCACTTAAGGATGTAACTGCGTCTTCTATTGCAAATGTTGAATTGCGGAAGACAATTCGAATTCCAACTTTTTTCGCAATTCAGCAAGTTAATTGGATCTTATCAGATTCACACATCTATCATCCTCAAATCAATGGAATTTTAGAGATTCCATAAATCTCTTAAAACATGAAGTTGGTGCAATTGGGCAATATATTACCCAACTTTGAAATGATCCTGTTTGCGTTAATACAGAAAAACATGTATTGTGTTACTATATTTAAAACCATTGATGCAATAGAAATAAAAAAGATTGTTGGTAAAGCACTGTCTATTCCAATTAACAACACTTTTGTGGAACGGATATTTTTAATAATGGAATCGATTTGGAGACCTGATAGAAATAGAATGCGTTTAAATCCAGTAAATGGAGAAATCGCTGTATGTGTAAACTTTGATATGGACTCTGACAAATTCTATCAATATTTAAGATTGCCAGAACAAAAACAAGCAGTGAAAAGTGCACAAAGTGACAAGAAATATAACTTTAGAAAATTAATACACCTAGTATTGTAATTTCGGATTTTTGTCGTTCTTCGTTTTGTACTATACCAATGTTTGTTTTATTTTTGTTTTATTAAAAAAATAGGTAGGAATGACCTCACTTCGAAGGAATTTGGGAAGCCAGAGTGAAATCTGTCAAACAACACCTGAGACGAGTCATTGGGGAGACAACATTAACATTTGAAAAACTCTCCACGCTTCTTTATCAAATAGAAGCATCCCAAAATTCCCGTCCATTAACACTTTAAGTAACCACATGAATGATACAACAGTTTCGACTCCTGTCCATTTTCTTATCAATAGACCATTGTTATCCTACAATTATCCTTCTATCAAAGATGAGCAAGATTTCTCTTCGAGATGGAAGTTAATTCAAAAAATGAACAAAGACTTCTGGCAAGTGTGGTCCACTGAGTACCTCAGTCGTTTACAACAGAGATACAAATGGAAAGTTCCACAAATGGATAATTTCAAGCCTGGTGATGTTGTTATTATCAAAGAAAATATCGTCGATGCTAATCGTTCGCCATTAGCAATAATGCCAGTTGTGTCATCAATGAGATTTATAAACGTCAAGATGAGCCACCATGCGGAATTCAGGATTCCCCATAAATTCGATCATATGGAAAGAATTATACATAAAATACTTGGATTTTCATGACACCGAAACCAGAGAAGGTCGCTATAACATGTTCTGGTACGCGAGAAGATGTACTATTAAATTCAACTGGTTTACTCTAGGTCTCTCAGGTCTGCGTTATAAAAACGAAACAAATATTAGCATCCAAGAAAGACAACAGTATTACCATAACAGCCAATTTCAATCACCCCATGGTACTTCCAACGAATATCTAAGTAAAAAGACCATGGGTCATTCCAAAACTATCTGAAGAAAAAGTCATCAAAGCTGGAGTTGAAGTTTCTNTAAAGCACAATTAATATAAAAATTGGTTGCAACAGGAAAATGAACTTAAAGGAGGTGTAAGTTATGTGGAACTACATTCATTATTAAACACAATGGAGAAAAGGCAGTAAAGGCACACCAAAACAAAAGTGGAGAATAATTTGGGTCATATGGCTTTTAAAAGAATTGAAAAACAATCAAGAAATGAGATATTTTTCAATATCCTCAGATGCCTCCAACAGAGGAAATCTTAAGTTATTTCCCCTTGTAGTATTTTGTTCCTCAAGAGGGAATAAAACACTCATGTTATTATATTTAGTTATTGCTCGGTTGCCTCCTGAAAGAGCGTCAATTTTTTATGATGTGATAAATAATCCACCAGAGAGATTTGTATTCTTTTTTGAAAGGATTTTTGTTGGAAAGACTTTCCCTTTCAGAAGAGAAACGTCTCGATAATCTCCTGTCTGGTACTCAATTGGGTGACCAACGCCCATCTGACTACTACAGGGGCATGTTATCAACAGGCTCCATAATGGTAAGTCAGAGTTTGTTATTCAAACTCTGGCAAAGAAATAAAACGAAAAAACTTCTTAACTTGCTATATTTAATAAATTTGTAGTCAAACTAGTTTCGGGGCCTAGCCCCATCCTCAGTGACAATGTCAATAGAAGACTAATATTGTAAACTGAAGATCATCAAAAAGGCGGCAATTGAAAGCATGTATAAAGCTGAAGGCGATATAATGCGTTGTTAAACGTGTACAGCAAAACGATTAAAATGGCGACAGCAAAAAAAAAACGTCATTTTAAACGCTTGTTGAAAAATAATCAAAAACCATGTTGATCCTTTAAGAGACGTGAAGAAACGTTTCTTCACGTTTTTGATTATTTTTCAACAACCGTTTAAAATGACGTGCTTTTTTTTTGCTGTCGCCATTTTTAAGTTTTATTTTTTAAATAATTCACTTGCAACATGGATCTACACTCTAACTCTGGCAAAGAAGGCTACCACGAACTATTTCGGTTGCTTTACTTGGCTCAAGCAAGGAGGAAGTCAATGACCTCTTAGAAATTGCTGATAAAATTTGGGAATCATTATCTTCTAACCTCTCATCCCCTTTGTCTATTGCTGAAGTAGGATCCAAATCGCTCATAAACAATCCATCAACATCGTCATTTTCAAGTTTTGCTATAAACAATAATTCAGAAATTCTTAAGACATTGCATGATTCTCTAATTCTTGTCAGCTTCTATTAGAGCCCACTTAAGTTATTTCCCCTTGTAGTATTTTGTTCCTGAGGAGGGAATAAAACACTGATGTTATTATATTTAGTTATTGCTCAGTTGCCTCCTGAAAGAGCGTCAATTATTTATGATGCGATAAATAATTCACCAGAGATTTATATTCCTTTTTGAAAGGATTTTTGTTGGAAAGACTTTCCCTTTCAGAAGAGAAACGTCTCGATAATCTCCATATGGAAAGAGTTATACATGAAAAATACTTGGATTTTCATGACACCGAAACCAGGAAGGTCGCTATAATATGTTCTGGTACACAAGAAGAACAAAACAAATTATATTAGCATCCAAGAAAGACAACAGTATTACCATAACAGCCAATTTCAATCACCCCATCGTACTTTCAACGAATATCTAAGTAAAAAGACCATGGGTCATTCCAAAACTATCTGAAGAAAAAGTCATCAAAGCTGGAGTTGAAGTTTCTTAGCTTATGGCCATAAAAGAATTAGTAAATGAGGAGATACGAAACGTTAATTGGCATCATGTGAAACACCATTCGGCCGTTGATTAGCACCCTTACAACTCTACCAATCGTCATTATTGTTGTCATCACATGGGGATTCATGTTTAATCAATAGTATAAGGTCAAATGTCTCTGTTTTATAGTTTAAAAATTGTTTTTTGTTATATTTTATAAATAATTTATACAGTGTGTTAATTAATTGTCGTACTCGACGTCATCATTGCAAGTATGCAACACAATACGCGATTTGCTTATTGTAATACCAACACTGTGATATTGGTTGCATACTTGCAATGATGGCGTAAATATATATACAGGATGTCCGGTATCTTCCGCATCAGAGCATTATACGGTTGTAGGATACATTATTCTGAAGCGATCTTTCTAATAAATTTCAATAGATTCAACACGGGAAGAGAAATAAATTTTTTCGGTGAATCAAAGTCGTCCGCTATTGGACAATACCGAATTTAAACAGTTCCTGTGCGGTTATTATAAACAGTTGGAAAAAATTTTATTAGAAAGATAAATTGGTTGAATTGTTTTAAAATGTAACAGGTAAAACTAAATTTGCATAAAAACGGTTTGGCAACAAATTCTGAATTCATTCCATCGTTTTACATTAAGGCAAAGTGTTTAAAGTAACTCTTTAAATCATGGATACTCTAAGTGTGGCAGAAAAAGTCGAAATGATTTTTATTTATGGAGAAAGACGTATTCCTGAACGAAATTCGTCTTCGAGAAGCCTCTTTTACAGAGTTGTGAATGATTTCACCGACACTGGAAATGTGGAATCAAGAAAAAGAACTCAGCGAGCAACTGTAACTATGGAAAAAAAGGAAATTGCGGTATTAGCTAGCGTTGAGGCAATTCCTCAAGTTAGCACTCGAGGACTTGCAATTTACGCCGGAAGACCAGCATTTTAAGAATATTAAAGCACAACAAGTATCACCCATACCACATTTCATTGCATCAACAGCTTTGATTTTGAAAATGATTAATATTTTGTCAATGGGCACAAGAACGAATGCGGTTGGACGTCAATTTCTTTGGTAACGTGCTATTCTCGGATGAGTCTACGTTTACAAACAAAGGACAAGTCAATAGACATAACATACACTATTGGAGCGTTGAAGTAAAACATCAACGACATATCCGACATACATGGTATGCTGAATGGGGAGAAGTCCGAAATTTTTTAGATGACGTCTTGCCAACGTTACTTGTAGATTTGAGCACGGAAAAAAGACAAAATATGCGGCTGCAAAATGATGGGTGTCCAGCAGATTTTTCACATATTGCACGTGAAGCTTTAGATCGGGATTTTGCTGGGTGATGGATTGGAAGGGGAGGTCCAATTTCCTGGCCTGCCAGATCACCTGATTTAACATCTCTTGATTTTTTTTTGTGGGATGTCCTTAAGGATAATGTTTATCGCGAAGTACCGACTACGCCAGAAAACATGAAAGAGCGGATAAGAAATGCATGCAGAAATAGTAGCCAAAAAAACCTTTTAAGATGTAAAGAAAGTTTTAGTAGAAGGGTTAATAAATGTATTGAAGTGGGTGGGGAAATATTTGAACATTTATTATAAATTTTGTATTTATTGTTGATTAATAGTATAGTTTAATCATTTTTTTATACATAAACAATATTTAAAACTATTTGGATTAAAAAAATTATTTAGATTTTGTCTACAAAAGATGTTTCGCCTTCGAACTGGCAAAAGCACACGAAAATTTTTTATTATTTTAATTATTTCACTTTTGTTGGAAGTGAAGGTCATTTATTTCTACTTTAACAATGTCATTCTTTATTTATCTTTCTACATGTTTCGAGGAACTAGTCCTCATCTTCAGGAAGAAATCGTCAGATGTTTGAATATAATGTTATAATCAAATCTGTTGGTTGTTTTATGTGATGTATATGGATTATCAAATATTATTTCTAAATTACCCCTCGTTCAATGTGGTGTGTTTATTTTGCGGTTGTGAGTTGGATTTTACTTCTATCCATAGATTCAGATTTTGCAATCAAAAACATAGGGTACCATTTAAAAAATTGATCATGACCTTCAAATAAGAATATGATCTTGAAAATAAGGTCAAGGTCAAAAAATTTTGTCGTCATATGGTTTCTCCCTTCGCACATAACTTTTATTTTGTTCATTTTTAAGTAAAATTAACCGTTTTCGGGATAATCACTTGCCTCACGTTAAATGGACCAGCCTGTAGTTTAAAAATTGGTTTTTCTTATGTTTTATAAATAGTTTATATTTATACACGAAGCTATAGTAAATTTTATGGCATTCTTTTCTCTGGGTTTGTTTTATTTTTGTAAGTATTTTCTCCGATTCTCCAATTTAACCATGTTGGTAACCCTAGTAATATTTAAGTGTACGGTAATGGATTATAAAAATAATATATATCTTTTCAGTTAAAGTATTGGAGAAACGTCACATCATACGAGAGAAAAAAATGGAATACGTAATGCGTGAAAAAAATGCTTTACAAATAATATCGGGAAAAAGTCCATTTTTTGTCAGCCTGTATTGTACATTTCAAGACACTAATCGTCTCTACTTTGTATTAACATACGCTAAAAACGGAGAACTATTAACGAAAATTAATCAATTAAAAAAATTCGATGTAACAACCGCGACCTATTACACAGCGGAAATCGTTTTAGCCTTAGAAACATTACATTCAAAAGGTGTGATACATAGAGATTTAAAGCCTGAGAATATCCTTTTTGATGAAAATTGGAATATTTTAATAACAGACTTTGGTAGTGCAAAAATCCTCAAAGAAAACGATAAAAACGAAGATGAGAATCAAGTGAGAAAAAGAAAAAATAGTTTTGTTGGAACAGCACAATACGTTAGTCCCGAATTATTATCAGATACCGAAGTTTGTTTTGCTTCCGATTTATGGGCCATGGCTTGTATATTGTTTCAAATGTTATCTGGTGAAGCTCCGTTTCGCGCTGGTAGCGAATATTTAATATTTCAAAAAATTATAAAATTGGAATACGAGTTCCCCGAGGGATTCGATAAAATATCCAAAGATTTTATTGAAAAAATTTTAATTTTACAACCATCTAAACGGTTGGGTGCAAACGATTCCATTCCATATACGAGTATTCGTAATCACGAACTTTTTAAAGAATTAAATTTTGACCAATTAGGCCCACCGCCGAAAATGGTTAAAGACGATCTACATCCCACCGCAACGGAAACATCATCAATACCCGAAAATATGGAACCCGGATTTAATGAAATGAAAGCAACCAGGTTACAATTTGAAATGGCTTGTCCAATAAAACCGAGTTTAAGAAAGAAATCGGAAGCGAACAAAAACATAGCTAATTTAATGCCGGAAGAAATCGAAAGGCGACTTGAAATTCAAAGGAAAGATAAATGGCATCAATTCGTCGAAGGAAATTTAATCATAAAACAAGGATTATTGGATAAAAGAAAAGGGTTATTTCCAAGGCGAAGAATGTTTCTTTTAACTTTAGGGCCTCATTTGTATTATGTCGATCCTAGTGCGATGGTCCTGAAAGGTGAAATACCTTGGAGTGAAACTATATGGACTGAAGTAAAAAATTTCAAAATATTTTTGATACACACGGTAGTTATTTTTTATTTTAATTTGATTTTATTTTAATCTAATTACTTATTTTAGCCGAATCGAACGTATTATCTTGAAGATCCAGAAGGGTATGCTCTGGAATGGTGTAAAGTAATTGAAGAAGTAAAAACTCATTATTACCCCAAATAACATTCACTAAAATCGGATGCCACATCAAAATGAAATAAAACTCGCTCACCCCCCGCGGCAACTTAATTTCTTCGTTTTCAACCTTCTATTTATACATTAAATTATTGCGTAACTTTTAATTTAGTGATGTATGTACGGTTTAGACATAAGACAGCGTTATTTATCATTAAAAAGAGTACTGTAGGCTCTTTATTTTGTTTCCGCAGATACTATTAATACCTACTACTACTATTATTACCTTTTATTATTACTACATTTGTTAGTATTCTCAAATTTTAGTTTTTTTTGTCTTAAAAAGAACATCTCTTGGTGTGTGTTAGTAGGTTGTACTGCGTGTATTTTTTTAATAACAATTATTTTAAAACGTTCTACATTTATTAAATTAAAAAAAAATTCTAAAATTGTCTTTTTGATTTATTTAAAAAAAAATCTGCAATTAAACCCCTTATTATTATTATAACTAAAAGATGTTTTCATTGAAATTAATATGACGGCTTAGAAGTTATAAAATATTTTAATTTAATTTCTTTTTCATATAACGCTGGAGGAAGTCAAGCTAGCACTGCAAAAAATGAAAAATAACAAGGCGTCTGATCTGCTTATAGAGATAATCAAACATATTGTCATGAAAGTCCTGGAAATAATATGCATGATATTTAACCCTTTCACTGTACCATCACTATAAAATAGCAAGAAACTGTGTCCCACAATAACAGTGAAAGGGTTAACAAATGTCTTAGAGGAGATGACATTCCACTAGATTGGAGAAAGTCCCAAATAATCCCCATATACAAGAAAGGAAATAGGAAGGAGTGCGGGAATTACAGAGGGTTAAGTATAACGTCATCACTTGGAAGATTATATGGAAGAGTCCTGAAAACTAGGATAGAAAAGGAAATAAGGAACAAAGTGGTTTCAGACCTGGAAGATTTTGCGTAGATAATTTATTCCCGTTTATACACCTAGTTGAGAAGAAGCTGTCCAAAGGAAGGAAAATACATACCTGGAATTTCATATAACTCGCAATATATGAATGCAGCAACCATAGTTACGAAATTACTGTGCACTTGCACTGTCCCACATAAAATGCAACATAGCTTAATAGTGAGTTTAGACATGCATGGATTTAGTGGCGCCAATAAAAACTGGCGCGCCAGTAAAATTAAATTGCATGTGTAAACATCAACTGGCATGCAAGTTGAAATCATGCATGCTTGGATCAGAAAAGTCTGCACTCTTCTGAAATTACTGGCACCAGTGATGAGTCTAAAAACATGTAACCATGACAACATAGATGAGTATCCACAAAAACACAAAAGTTTCGTATCTTCGTCGTTTCTTTTTCTGTATTCCTTTTATCTTTTTTTCGGCTAAAAGTTTAGCGACTATTTTGTATGCTTCGGAAAGTTCACTCGACATATTGCACTCTATGCAATACACTTTAAAAATGAAACTGGCGTGTCACTTATTTTTGTTTTTCCACATGTAGTTACACATGTTAATATAACACTAGACTGAAAACTAGAAACATTCGGGTTTAGCCGTCTTAAGAGACGTGCGGCTAAACCCGAATGATTCTAATTCTAAGTCTTGTGTTAGTTCTAGTGATAGTGTTAATATAAAACCAGAACTAATACTAGACCGAGAACTAGAAACATTCGGGTTTAGCCGCACGTCTCTTAAGAGGGCTAAACCCGAATGATTCTAGTTCTAGGTCTTGTGTTAGTTCTAGTGATAGTGCTAGTGTAAAACTAGAACTAACACTAGACCTAGAACTAGAAACATTCGGGTTTAGCCGCACGTCTCTCAAGACGGCTAAACCCGAATGATTCGAGTTCTAAGTCTTGTGTTAGTTCTAGTGATAGTGTTAATATAAAACCAGAACTAATACTAGACCGAGAACTAGAAACATTCGGGTTTAGCCGCACGTCTCTTAAGACGGCTAAACCCGAATGATTCTAGTTCTAGGTCTTGTGTTAATTCTAGTTTTAATTCTATAAAAATATGAAATATACTGACATCTTATGTTAACTAGCGCTACCTGCCACTGTCACTGGAACTAATATTAGATCTACAACCAGAAACGTTCAGACATGTTATATTTTATGTGGGACAAAGTAATTAGATGCCAGAGACTTGCATGAATGTTAAGTTGAATTTAAGACACAATTTACGCAACATACCTTTTTTTTATTCATAACAGTAATATAGTGTATTTGCAATCATGAAAAATTTAAGCTATGGAATAATTTGAAGTGAAAGCTCTCACAATCCTGACGTATTACATATCCAGCTATCTAAAATGTAGGTAACATTATCTAAACTTCTCCAAAATTGTTCATAAGCACAAAATTTGTCTAAAATTGTTCAAAACTGTCTAAAAAGTGGCTAAGATTTTAAACCATTCACTTTTGAAACAGCACGACACTACATGATTCACAGTTCTATTGAAGAATTAAAGAAACATTGTAGCAAAAAATCAATTAATATGATTCGACATGTGAGCCATTCTTTGCTGGTTTTAGAGTCGACAATACAGTAACTTAAGGAAGAACGATACAACATGATTCACAGCAACTATTGACGAATGAAGGCAATACCGAATATTCACTATGTGAGATTCACTATGTGAGATTCACTATGTGAGCCATTCGCTGCAGGTCTCTGGTAGGTACTCCTTCGTTTCTATAGACATATATTTTTGTATATTGCCTTTCAAGTGAAATTCACTGTATAGATATGAGAAAAGCGTTCGATTTGGGCCCGCTTCAAAAATTATGGATTACCCTGACACATACAGGCATCAACAGAACTTACATCCATGCTGTAAAAGCGTTATACAGGGATAACGCAGCAGTTCAGGTAGAAAAACTCACAACTCATGATTTCTCTCCTACAAAAGGTGTCAAACAAGGATACAGCCTCTCTCCCACAATATTCAAGATCTATATGTCAACCCTAAAACATTTTGAAAGGAAATGCAACCCGATGGGAATATGGGTAGGAGACAACCACATATACACCATGCTGTTCGCAGATTATTTGGTCGTTTTTGCAGAGGACGAAGAGGATGTGAGGTATATGTTAAATAAACTACATACAAGACGAAATACAATAAATGAGGCTTGGAAATGAGCAAAGATGAGACCCAATATATTGTAATTGGAGGAACTGGAAAGAACATACATTTCGAGACCGGCATAATAAAACATGTAGATCAGTACGAATACCTTGGGGTAATCATAAACGAAGACGGAAGGGACAATAAAGATGTAATGGGGAAGGTTGCTAAAATATTTTTGGGGCCAATATAAAACCATTAATGACAAAGACTCAACTCGAAGACTGCTAACAGCTGAGTTTTGGAGAACATGCTGCGGCATAACCATGGCGGACCGAGTTGAAAATGAGGATATAAGATGAAGAATGACGCCACAAAACTCAATAATAGATACTAAATGAAAAGCAACTAAAATGGTAAGAGAGAATCCCACTTAAGGTTTGGAACTGGGTGCCAGCAGAAAGAAACAAAAGAGGAAAAAATGAATCCAAGGTATCAATGTAGAGATGAAGAAAAGAGGATTGGGTGAAGATGATTGGAATGATAAGGACCGCTGGCGGTTGGGATGCGAGAAGCGGCAATAAAAAAAACTACAAATACTCCCCAAAATAGAATTTCTTTTTCAACTAAATTTTATTTATCATTTTTAATTTATTAATCTCAAACAATAATTTTTATTTATTTATTTATAAATTTAAAATATCTACAAGTTATGAACAAATCCGTTAAAATAATTCATTATTTTAGTGTTATTTGGGTTCCGTATGTTGGTAACGTTGTCCCCCGTCAAGTATGGCGTCAAAAGAATGAACCGTGACGTTAAGTTGGTGTGTTATTTTGTTTATATTTACACGAATAACGGACAATTTTCGATAAACGTACGGGATGAATGCTAAATTTGATGTCTTCACGGACCGTTTGAGTTAATGTCAACGAAAATAATCAGGTAAGTCAGCAATAAACTTATAAAAAACGATTTCCATAGCCGCCCACTCGGTTTATACGCACACATGATAATTCCTTTTTATTTTTTCGCAAATTACCTGGAACTTTCCGTCGAGATAATTATAGTTTCTGTAAAGGATAACATGAAATAAACGTTTGATGTATTGTACTTGTTAAATCTTTGCCGGTAAAATTAATTATATGCGATCGAAGTTGGTCCTAGTGACAGTTAACCTGAAAATCAGGTGTTTAAGCCGCGATGTTATTATTGTTTCGTGTCCCTTTTTCTGCTACTAATTTTAGCCGGCAAGGACGTTCACCCTCTAAAGATACCTATTAGTAACGTCCTGTTTGTATTTCTCTAATAAAGACTTTCGAAAAGGAACTAGTTTTATTTCTATTTCTTTTGTTGTTGTTGTAAATCTGCTTGATTATATTCATCGCTTTTTTTTTCCCATTTTTACATCATCCAAGCGATAATTAGCACTTTTTATATCTTTTTCTTTGCAAAGCAACTCAAGTGTAAACATTATAACATTACATAGGTGCTTATTTTTAAATGCACGATAAACTTTAGAATATGTTTGTTTCGTTTGATAAGATAAATTAAATTTTATACTTAAGCCGAACTTTATAAGTTTGTATTACAATTGAAAATTGCAATTACATATAGAGTTGAAGGACCAATTTTTGTATCGTGCCCAATTAGATCTATTAAGATAACTTTATCAGATTTCAATGTAATCCAAGGATTCTAAGGAAAGGTAAGATTTTGCTGTTTATCTAGAATGAAAACGAAGATTGCAGCTCAAATGTTAACTAGGGGGAAGTATTGTACCTAGGGATATTGGCGACAATTTCAAGTATGAGAAGACAGATCAGAAGCTTAAGCTTTAGTTGTTCTGTTATAACTTATAGATGCTCAGCTCACTTTCTAAATTTGCCTTGCGACTAGCTTGAAGTAACTAAAGTCAAAGAGCATGTGATCCAAATTGTGAAATACATGTTTTAGAAACAATCACTTGGCTAAATCTAAGTATGGAAAAGTTTTAAACGTGGTGAGGTGGAATTGTATGGTGGATTGTCTGTAAATACATGTAAGTCAATGGGAAAAACTGTCAAAAGTTTGTGAACAAAATTGTTGTACCTCAGGTCATGTCCCAAGGTTCAATATTGTATATTCATGTATTGTTATCTATATTTTTGGTAATAGTGTAAGTAATATCTATCGTTATTCTTCCCAAAAAAATCCCTAGATGTATGCAAGATTAACAACAAGGCCTGCAATAGATGTTGGCGCATTGGAAAGAGCTGTGAAAAAAAAGTGTGAACCGTAACTAAAATGTTTGGAATTTCCAAAAGTATTCTTTTTCGTCATGTCCACTTACACCGGTCA